GACTGAACATGGTCACAAACAACGGCCCTTTCTCTTCGGTGCACCACAGTTGCATGTAGATTATCAAACCAGAGCAAACCACTCCGTGTCATGTATGAGTCGATGTTACGAAGAACCCCCCCCCCCCCCCCCGAAAAACTGTCGAATAGTACCTTGCTTACAGCATATAGTAGCCCAGAAGTCGATATCGAATCCCATTTTCCATGCAGCCGGTTCATGATTCACAATGACTGTGAAAACTGCCGATTGTGCTGCTCCGACAAAGCTCATCCATGTCGTTAACGACAGCGGTGCGGATATCGTTTCAGTGTAAACGCCTACAAAATACCAAACATCGTAAGCGTATTTTTTCCATCTCGGATCTGCAATTTACTCTATTTGAATGGACTTTTTTTTACCTGCATGATGTACAATATAGACCAAGTTAAGCGGCTACAAACAATCAGAATTGAACCCTTTAGCCAAATCTCATGAATGGGGGATTTGCCTTGAATATGTACTAGAGTTGGCCCCGGTGACTTTATTGCAGAACCTTTGTACAATGTCATTGTCGTTACACCGACCAATGAGACAAATGTGCCGACGACTTTGGCTATTCCTCGAGGATTCTGGAGATTAACGAACTCCCTCTGCATCAAAGTCGAATCCCAGATGATTAGAGTCATAGAAGCTTTGCTAATTATTGATCGAAGTTTGATCGCTAACAGGAATAGAACGGCAATTATAAATGTCAAAGAAGCGTGTTCACCAGGGCTGCAGGGAAAGTTGGTGACGTGTATATCAAGCTAACGAAATACATCTTGAGGGTCAAACTCACCCTTTTCGAATCGAACAACAAAAGGTTAGTCGGACACGGTTGTCGAATATAAATACGAGCCGGAGAAGTACGTACCCCAAGATGGAGAGAACAAATATCTCCAGAAAAGGGCAAAAGTAAGCTTTGGCCTCTCTTTTCTGCACCAAACAACAGAACAAACAGCATAAAACTTGAATATTCCAAACAGTTCCATGAAAGATCGGTCCAGAGCAAAACGGACTCTTTTTCGGCCGTGTTACGTTTATTGAATAACAAACGTAACATAACTCACCTTTCAAGGAAATAGGCAGAAGGGAACATGGCGATGCCGGCTACGATGTGCCAATACGTAATGTGGACGTGAGGGTTCATACCATGATTAAAAATAACATAACCCAGATTGTAATAGAAATTAAAAGAAGGGAAAAAAAGAAAAAGAAATATCAACGATCGATGATCGATGATCAATTTATGATTAATAATTTCTAAGATGTAATGTGGAAGAATACTTGGAGCCTGTACAACAACCGGTTTAACCGGCCGCAAATAGCCATAGCATGATTAATGATGATGAAATCGACACCCAGACGAGGAAGGCCAAAGCGACCGACAACTGATATTTTCGGCATTCTTCTCCGAACCTGCAGTTCCCAAGTCATTGAAGTACAATATGGCAATGCCTGCAGAGGAAGATGCTGCAGCCATGACAACAAAGCCCCAAACAACTTGCAATCCCATTGAAGCAATAAGGTAGCTGCACAACACAAGCAAATGTTGTCTTCAGAAACAAGGCTTTAAATTTCCTAGCTTTAGGCATTCGCATCAAAGATTGAAATCTTCGATCGCGGTGATTACTGATATATGCAAGTTCTTCAACTATATATGAATGGATTACTGATATATGCAAGTCCTTCAACTATGCATCAAAGATCGAAGTTTTTGATCACAACGATTAGTAACCCGAACAAAACTTACAGAGTTGTATTCCATGCTGCAAAAGGTAAAATTCCACTGATTATATAAACTAAGCATCATACCACCAATATCACATCTATGAAGATACAGAGCACAATCTGGTCATCGTATATTTGATCCTAATACCTTCCCTCGAGGCTCTCAAAGATATAGAGGATGTGAGGAAGATACACTCATATTAAGTAAAACTAAGCATAAACATTAGAATCTGCCACAATGAGTAAAACTAAGTAATTACTTACTATCTTCCCTTTCATTTCTATAATCCATGTAAGATGTGTATGCTGCCCGTGCATCGAATATAAATTGTAAATAACAACCCGAATTTGCATAAGATTACCAGCATTTATATCCCGTATCTATGTTGCTCGAAGCCTCGAACTAGTCATTTTCGGCTAAACTAACAGAAAAAGATACAAAACATAGAAAAATATATACTCAACTCACTGTTGCCATAAACAGCAAGAAAGCAGATACCTTCTACCTCACAAACAATAAAAACAAAAATGTCTTGGAAATGCTTTATTAGCAACCTCAAAGAAAGATTAATTCAGTAATTGGATCTTAATCCATCATTTCAGCATCTAAACAAAACTTAATGCTGACATATCATCTCCCTGGCTAAATTCTGCAAAACTAAAGAAATTTCTGCCTGCATTTAACATCCTAATTTGAAAGAAAAAAACAAAATTGCTGGTAAAATAAATTCAGGATTAATACCAGAAAGCAGTGATGGTGGAGAAGCTTGGAGCTGTAGCCATGGAAGCAATTGATCCATCTGCAAAAACACACTGTATAATCCTCAAAATTAGGCTTGTCAATGTCCCTGGAGTACAGGGAAATGCCCTCATTTTTTTAGAAGAAATTATTGCACTAAATCTCCATAGTTCATTATAAAAAATACCTTTTCCAGAGAAATAAGAATGACCCAGAAACTGAAATTGGCAGATTAGAGGATAAACTTTCCCAGAGTTAAGAATTTGCATAAACCCAGAAATCAAAAATACTATACAGCTCTGTTGACAATAATGGTAATACCAGCAAAAAGCATTGTCACTTTCCTTTTTCATGATTTCAACTGTTTCAACTACCCAACTAGACCCTGAACTAAACTCAATATTCGGTGGGAAAATATTTTGGCCAAATTGCGAGTTTGGTCCTTTTACCATGTTCAAATTTGAGTTATAATGTCTGCACTATGTACGATGAGTTTAGTTTTTCTTTGTAATAGTGCTCGTTATATAGTGGTAGTGTTATCGTCCGAAGTCGTTATTGTATGACCGGAATAGCGTTAGATTCCACCATTGTTCTTTGTGTTTGGTTTTTCTTTTTGGTTCCTCTGTTTTAATGTCACCAAATTAAGTTCATAGGAGATCTTAGTTGCATAATAACAATAAATCAATCTGTTCAAACAATTTGATATGTCCATATCAAAGCGAATTCAATATGTATTATCATGCATCGTGTTACCATAATTAGAGGCAGAACATCCTATATTGATAAACATATCCATAGAAAATTATTCAAAAAGTAAATAAGAACCATCATCACTGCTGCAACTCTCAAGTCCCTTGGTTGCACTGATCTTATGTAGACCGATTTTCACAGCTTGAAATTCGGAAGTCCACCGAAACCATCGATCGGTTTCGAGTAGTATTCCGACAAATAGTCCTTGATCAAGATATCCCTGTAGATTGGGGGATTGTTCTCAGATAACAAGTCCTTGATCGGTCCATAAAGCCTCGATCCAGTTTCTGACATCCTCAAGAAACATGCCACCGATATCCTAGGCCCTGTTTGTTTCGCTAACACCCTGTGATTCACGCTTTTGAACTTGTCGTTCGAGATGAGCTGCGCGTTATAAGACGGGAACAACATGAATACAATGATTACCATGTCATGGATACAATATTCAAGATTCATGGGGATGAACTTGCCTGTAGAAGATCTCCAACGTTAATAACCAAAGCTCCGGGTGTGCAGGGAACATCAACCCATTGATTCTGATGAAGAACTTGCAGACCACCCATTTGGTCTTGGAGAAGAACGGTGATGATGTTACTGTCTTTGTGATTGGTGGTTGCCATCGTTAGTTCTGGTTGAGGACATGGAGGACAGCAATGCCCCATGAGGAACATATGGTCGGCGCAACCCATGTCTTTAAGGCAACCAGGGTTAACCCCAATAGCCTCGGACAGGAGTTCAAGCAAGGTGAACGACAATGTCATTACTTTCTTGGTGTAATCCATCACTACATCTCTGCAATACAATTTACAAAAAAAAAAATTAATCACTTACATATGCACCTGAATTCGAGTATCGTAATTTACAACCACTTACCTGCAAACTTCAGGCAAATCTGCAGGTTGAGGAGGATTATCACAAACCATGATACAACCCAAACTGTCCCTCCAATCAGCAGCTTTGGATTTGAACAAAGTATAGTTGCTTAGATACAACACCTTGCGAGTTGGATCTCGTGTATAAAACCCTTTCTTTATCTCAGTGTCTTGTTCATGAAACTCACGGATCCCATCGATCATTTCCTCCAAAACACTGGCTGAAATCCCATGATTGATGACTTGTAAGAAACCCCAATCCGCACAAGCACTTTCCACTTGCTTTATTAACTCGGCACGACGAGTTGAGTCTTCTCTGATGGCTTGGAGGTCTATGGTTGGGACACTGAGCTGGGAACCGGAAGAATCGGAGGGTTTTTCGAGGATGAAGTCTTGATTAATGAAGATACGAGGGATTTTTGTGATCCCCGAATCTACTAATCCTTTTACACCGGCTTTTGTATCGTCGAAAGCCTTCACTTCACTTTGGCGATCGTAATCTGCTTGAAATTCACCAGTTTTTGAGCCCATCGTGTTGATCTTAGCCTGAAATTGTTAGTGTAGTAAGGCTGTTTTTGATCAAAGAAAAGTCTGCGTTACAAATAGGATGAAGAACTGAAGAAGACAAGCGACGTTTCCAAGGTCCACACGGCTCTGTTGTTAACTTGACCAATCGAACTTATCAGCTTTAGATTACTAAATTCACATGTGCCTAAATTATTACTGGCCAATTTTTCATTAATCACGACTCGGAGTTTTTGAGTAATTATGTTCGTAGAGTGTATATGTTGTCAATTAATTAAAAAAATTATAAACAGATATTATTACATAATCGATCCAAAATTATAGAATTTGATCATCAATCATACTATTAAGAGGGAGAGTGGGAATATTGATATCCACTTTTCAAATCTCTATGTTTACTTTCGTGCTACGGACTACTCAGATCTTGTAGGACTAACAACTATTGAGAGAAGATTTGTTTGAACGGACTATTCAACCATGGCATCCTTGTCTTGAATCCTCCAAATGGCATCATGTTCATGGGATCATAACCTGAAATGCAGCAAGGAAGAAGTACCGTCGACGTCGAGGCCTCTTCCGTTGGAGTACACAACATAATCTCTCACTGTGGTTTCCCTGTATTTCGGAGGATTCTCTTCCGACAACAACTCCTTGATCGGTCCATATAGTCTCGAGTCCGACATGACCGAAGTGCTAAAAAAACATGCCACCGAAACTCTCGGTCCCAACGAGCTTGCCAGCACTCTATGCTCCACGCTTATGAAAGCATCATTTGATATAAGCTACAAAAAAGTACAGGTTGAAATTCATCCAAATATGTAGATGTCATGATATGAACACCAAAAAGAGTCCGTTTGACAAAGTACGAAGGATTAACCTGTAAAAGATCGCCGATGTTAATCACTAGGGCCCCCGGAGAATAAGGTACATCAATCCATTTATCCTCATGAAGTACTTGGAGACCACCAATATGATCTTGCAGAAGCACAGTGAAAAAATCATTGTCTGTGTGTTTACTTGTTCCTAATGCTAATTCTGGCTCAGGACACCCTGGATAGTAATGGCATAGCATGGCAAGCCCCCTGCCACAATCGATGTCTTTCAAGTGATCAGGGTTCAGCTCAAGAGCCTCAGAAAGCAACTCCAGCAGCAAATCACCCAAATTCTGCACTTGTTTCGAGTACGTCGCCATTATATCCCTGCAAAATTTTAGCCCTGTTAGATCATATGCTGATTTGAATTGTGTTCGTAGTTGCATTTTTGGTTATGTTTTTCACGATTACGAACATAATAGGTGATATAGGCAATCAATTGTGGTACATATCCAAAATCAAGCCAAAGTACAAATGATCTTAAACCATACCTGCAAACTGCTGGCAGATCTTCCATCTTAGGGGGATTTGGAGCCATAAGGCTGAAGAATGTATCTCTCCAATTGACCGCTAAACCAGTATACAGATCGAAATTGCTGTTATAAACCACCGGTTTCGTATAATCACGAGTATAATATTGCTTTTTCGCTTCATCATCTTGTTCATAAAACCTCCTCACACCATCCTTCATCTCCTCCAAGACACTAACTGGAATTCCATGGTTGATCACCTGGAAAAAACCAAGTTTCTTTGACGCGTCCCCGACTTTATCCACTATTTCCTTTCGAGTAGTCGGATCTTGCTTCGCTCCTTCAAGGTCTATGACCGGTATACCGAACTGGGAATCTTTTGAAACAGGTATTTTCTTGAGTTTCCCGGGTGGTTGATGAAATATCCGAGGAACCTTCGTGATTCCACCGTCAACGAGGCCTTTAACACCAGCCTTTGTGTCGTCGAAAGCTTTGAGTTCGGTTGCTCTATCGTACCCAGCCATGTTGACTGTCGCCATTTCTTGTTGGATTAGAAAGAGGGGGAAGGAGATGAATGAATAGGAGGTGTTGACTAATTTTTTTTTTTTATGATAAGTATCACTGTGTTATTATCTTTGGGGACTCCATGAAGATATGGGCAGTGGTTAATTGCACACCACCATTAATGGCAGTCATTTTAGGCCTTATTTTTGTAATCTTGTGATGCAACTTGGCACCACTTGCCCACCTCAAAGTCCAACCATGAATTATCATGTCCACATATTATATACCGTATATATAGGGTAAAAGTCAAAATTCTAAAATAACAATTCAACAAGGAACAGTAAGTCCATAAACAGGGTACATGCAGCATAGATACATAGATACATGATAATCTATTCTCTGTCTTGGAGGTTACTGGTTCATATCCTGAAAGGCGTCAGTGCAGACTTTCCATCAAGACCTTTCTTTTTGAAGAGAGTCATATACTCAATCACAGTAGTTTCCCTGTATTTCGGAGGATAATCGTCTGATAACAGCTCCTTAATGGGTCCATACAATCTCGGGTTTGGTTGAAAACTCGTGACGAAAAAGCTTCCCACCGACACTCTAGGTCCGACGGAATTCGCCAGCACCCTATGCTCCACGCTTACAAAACTGTCATTCGATAGAAGCTGAAATAAAAGCAGGACAAATCAGAAAATAAATCGATCAGTCGTTCAGTTCTAAATCTTATTGTTAATTGTAATTTTCTACGACTTGCCTGTAGAAGATCTCCGATGTTAACGACCAAAGCCCCAGGGACTGGAGGAACATCAATCCATTGATTTTCATGAAGAACTTGGAGACCACCAATATGGTCTTGCAGAAGCACTGTGAGGAAGCTATTATCAGCATGCTTGCTTGTCCCTAGAGTCAATTCCGGTTGCGGACATGCCGGAGCGTAATGGCAGAGCTGGCTGAGACCCTTTGCACAATCTATCTTTAGCAGATGATCAGGGTTCAACCCCAGAGCTTCTGATATCAACTCAAAGAGCAAATTACCCAAACTTATTATGCGGTCCGTGTACTCCACCATCATATCCCTATACCAAAGTCATACAGGTAAAAGCTCATAATCATTTCAGGGTATGTATCTGTATATGTATATGTATATACCTTAATGGTTCAGGCAACTCTTCTGGGTTAGGAGGATCAGGAGCCATGATGCAACAAATAGAGTCTCTCCAGCTAGCTGCTGGGGCAGTAAAGAGATGGAAATTGCTATTATGAATAATTTTTTTTGTAAAATCTCGAGTGTAGAACTGTTTTTTGAGCTCAACATCTTGCTCGAAAAACCTATGTACACTAGCCTTCATCTTCTCGAGAACAATCACAGGTATTCCATGGTTAATGATCTGGAAAAACCCCCATTCCTTTGATGCAGTACGGACTTCTTCGACTATCGACTTCCGAGTACTACGATCCTCCTCCACTCTTCGAAGATCTATAACAGGGATACTATACCGGGAAGCAGATGGAACATAAGTTTCCCCGAAGGTATCCGGCGGCTGATGAAAAATTTGAGGAACCTCTGAAATTCCAGCATCTACAAGCCCTTTGACACCGGCTTTTGTCTCGTCGAAAGCTTTGATCTCACTCGCTCGATCATATTCCGGTTCGAAAATGACTTCCCCTGCCTTGGCTACCTCCATTTGTTTTCCTCTGGTATTTGAATGTAACCTCTTTGTATAAACAATCTAGGTGAATGAATGACAACCACTAAAATTAGAATAAATAGAAGGGGAAACCAAAGATAACTACAAAAAGAGTGATGGTGACGAGAGTTTGAACACGTGAAGATATTGTATATATAAATTTCAACACGTGAATGATTTTGTTAATTTAGCTTTGGACATATTCTTACATCATGTAGTATTTGTATTATTCTTTTGTATCGTTGAAGACGATACTAATTTTGACTAATCTTTCCAATCTTTCTCATCGTTGAAGATAACACGCCAATGATGTTTTTATAATAACAATCATGTAAATCGAACTTTGAGGTTCAATCGACGAACATCATTCACACTAGGGGTGCATTTTGACTTGCCGACGGTGCTTCGCAACACAGCAAAATCGACTGAAACTTCCCCCACATCTTACCCGAACGTCAGATCCGATAAAAATCCTCAACACTAAAGCATTACAGAGAACGGTTTTCATGTTCTCAATCGTACGCCGACTAAACGAAAGAAATTCAGGGGTTTGAAATGATCCCAAAGTTGGCACGTCTTCTGATACATAACATCAATAAGCACTATGAACCCAGGATTTAAAGATTCCAAGAAAATGGGTAAAACCAAAAGATGCAGCAGATTTAAAATCAAAATTATCAAACCCTTTCTGAAAACTAAATAGCATACTAAACTTTGTAGTTAACGTTGTCATGTAGTCCAGGTAATAATATGCTCTTCTTCCCCCTAATCTTGAAGGTACAAAGTCATGGCGCCAGCACATATGAATAGATATGTGGATTCACCGAGGTCGACAGAGATCGAACAAAAACCTAGATGTTCCTCTTCAATTTGTTTTTTTTTGGGAACATTTTTCTTGTGTCGTCTCTTGGGCATTGAGTTCTTCATGCCAATAAAGAAGAATAAAGCCCCTAACAGCGCCAAGTTCTGAAGAATGGGAATTTAGTTAGAAAAATATAATTTGAAACAAACTGCCGACATGAAATGTATAATTGGAAGAGAGAAATGAAACATATATCAACTACGAACCTGTGTGAATTTGGTGAAAAGTATACCAAGTTCTTTCTTTTCTGTGTCATAGTTGTAGAAGTCATACAATATCAGTGAGCTGTTGCAGAACCTACACGAGTAGAATAGAGTGTAATACATCAGTAGACTTAGTTGATAATTGAACTACGAACTAAAAATGATAGATAAGTCCATAAACGAACAAGAAGATAAGCTCCGATACTGCTGCCAAATGTAAAAAGGATGTCCCTGACACCTTTAAAGGCTACAGAAGCAGCAACTAGAAACTTAATCTGTAAATCACAACTCCAAGAGTTATGATGTTAGAAAAACCCGGCACATAAATAAGTTTATCTCAGTGGTGAATAAAGCAATTCTTACAACGAATTTTGCCACTTGCACCCCAACATGAGCTGACAGTCTTTGAGAAGACATTGAATTTTGGTTTCAATGCCTTCACTGTTGGTCCCCCATCATCACCTAATTCATTGAACCTATGAACACAAACACATAATGTAAGAGAAGAAACAAGCAAGGCACACCTTATCCCAAGGGAAAAAATTCCAAAATTCATATTCTAAGCTCAAGCTAGAGAACAAATTTTCATTGAAAAAGAAGATCCCAAATCTCCTATCACCTACTGCTCTTTTATATCCGTGCAAGTGTTCGTCTTGTTGAACAGTCATATCGAGGAGATGAGAGTTTTATGTCATCCGCTTTCTTACTGTTAAAGGGAAAATTAAAGAAAAATGTTAAAAATAAAAGGAAAATTGCTGAGGCAATTACATTGTCTAGCACGACACATATGGATACCTTACAATACGGCATTGTGTATCACGACCGATCATCACATGACAGGCTCCATGCCTCATTACGCAAGCATCATGATCCCATGATCCAGCTTACCTACGAGCATAGTTCATTTCTAGCGTAGTTCAGTATTCTCCGCTTTGGATCCTATAAGTCTCTCAAGATTTTGTCACCCTAAGACCTCTCTTTATATTCAAATCCAGGGAACATACTCCTAACACTCTCTGATTTGGGTAAAAGGAGATTCGAGTCTTGATCTTTGAGCAAGGGATCATAGCCTAACCACTAGAGCCAAATGCTTAGGTTCATACTCCTACTCTTTAAAATTATTCAACAATTAATCATGAATATTTCTGCATTAGAAAGGGGAACCATCGCATTACAACTGCCATAAGGCTTAAACATCTAAGCAATTTAACATGAACATCATCAATACAATTTCAGATTTTTACATGTATAAAGAAATTATCCTAATTGACACCTTAATTTGAACTAGATTTTCATTTTTCCAACAAAGCAAGCAACTTTACTATAGACAACGGCTATTAACATAGAACCCTAACAATTATCAATCATCCGAAACAATAAATATCATTAAATCGTCATAAAATAAAAACTAATTCTGCTCTTTAACAGTTCGAAACAGCTCTGAGTTCCAAACCCGAATTAAGAACTAAACTACCCTCTCCATTTTTTTCCTCTCGAGAAACAAACAGGCCCCATTAAGATCTGAAGTGAAACTTACTCTTGCCAAGCAGAGAGGAGAAACTCCGAAGCGAAAAGAACCCTCCCGACGAAAGAAAGAAACAAACCCCATTTTTGTTTTCGATCTAAAAAACCTCAAAATTCAACGAAAATACAATCGAGAAAATGAATGAAACTACTACTGTATGGGAGCGAGACGAGATCGAGAGGTGTAAATGACTAAATTGGAGGGTTGGATCGGGTCGGATGTATTCAAATCGGGTCTTTAAAAGATCCGACTTCGATTCGGATCTATATGTGTTTGCTAAAATGAAGGCATAAGATAGAGTGCAATGTTTCCCACACCGGAGAGAGAGAGAGAGAGAGAGTGAGGTGACATAAGAGGCGATGTATATATAAGCTTCGAGAGGTTAGTACTGAAGTGTGAAAGAGTCGGTTGGCTAAATGTGTCACGCCCACCCTCGACTGGTTGGTGCTGTATAGGGGTGAGTAACGAAACCGAGAAAACTGAAAAACCGACACGAACCGAGTAAAACGGTTCGGTTTGATTCGGTTTGGCTTTAAACGGTTCAGTTTTCGGTTCGGTTTAAAGGCTTCATTTTTTTGATTCGGTTCGGTTCGGGTTTTCCATATGGAACCCATTTGTTCCATATTGAACCGAATAGGCAATTTTTGTAAAAAAAATTATAGTTTCAAGTGATTTTTTCATTGAAAAACCGAAAAACCGACCCGAACCGAACCGAAAAACTCGAACCGTTAAAAAACCCGAACCGAACCGAAAAAACCGGTTTCGATTTTTTCGGTTTTTTAACTATTCGATTTCGATTTAAATATTAAAAAACCGTTTATTTCGGTTCGGTTCTGTTTTTGGTAAAAAACCGAACCGAACCGAATACACCTCTAGTGTTGTATGGCTATCAAGACATATGACCGACACCACAGGGTTGGCTCGCTCTGCCGACCCTCTAAATCAAATTATTTTAGAGTGATTTATTTTAGTAGTGAAAGAGATCTTTATTATTTCTAAAGGTAATAAATTTAAGTATTACTAATTGAATATTATTTAAATATTAATTATCAAATACAATTTTCTAATAATATAATTTCAGATTAATAAAAATTATAATTTTGTATTGAAATTAGAGCTAAGATTAATGGTAATGGTTAGGGATGGGTATCAATATGGATAGGCGGTACTTTGACTTAAATTTTTAAATTTAACAAATTTGAAGTGAAAATTAGTTATTATTAAATAATTATAAAATAATATTTATTTATAATTTTTAAATTATTGATAACATATGTTTCTGCAAACAATATTATGATGCAATGAGTTCAAGAAATAGTCAATTTACAAATAATATTTTTCTATATATTTGGAAATAATTATTGTACTATTTCTCTTATGATTTAGCTTTTATATATATATATATAGTGTCGAATTGAATGTTGATTTTTATTTTAAAATTCAGGTAGTTTGGGATTGGATAAAATTTTTAAAAACTCAAGTTGAGTTCGGTTGGAGGGGATATATTTCTCACTTCAAGTCATGTTAGTCAAAAATTCGACTCAACCTAGTTCGTTATCTTTCTTATAAAATAATTTTCATCCTAAATTTAATTCAAACTCGATCCAATTTTATCTTTATGAAACCTAATTCAGCCTACCCAACTCGAAGTCGAATTTTAAAAAAATTATTTATGACTTGATTAAACTAAAATCTCTAAATCTGATTTCAACTCAATTTGATTTTGTCTTTATCAAATTTTATAAAAGACGGTTATATAGAATTTTATCGAATCAAAATCCGTCGATTTTGAATAATTTAATTATCTTAATATTGATATTGGTTGGATGGAAATTGTTTGATACCAACATGACTATTGTATTCAACAATTAACATAAACTCCTATATAAATCAAAGTTTCGGAGTTGCAATAACATTGGACGTCGTTCCCAGCATGCCACAGAGTTCAGGAAACAACCCTTTTCTCATTTCAACATGCACTTCACCATCCCAGTTTCTTTTGGCCAAATCACCGGCCATTTTCGTTCCGGCTTTTTTAACTCATTCCTCGCCGTCGTGAACGGCGTCCACAACTCCCATTTCAGTGCCTCCTCGCCCTTTATCTTCAACCCACGCAACAACATATCGCGCGTAGTCGAACCCGAAGCTTTGGCCCTAAAAAGAAGCCCTGAAGATTTCAGGAACCCTAATATCTCTATCCAACTCACTCATGTAGAGCAAACCTCTGCCACGTCTCATGACCACATAGTCGTGACAGAGCTCGAGCATCACACCGGAAGCGACGGCGTGGCCGTTGACGGTGGCGACAGTCGGCATGGGGACTGGGGAGGGAGATGAAGGCTAGGATAATGGGCTTGATGGAGTCGAGCAAGCGGTCGAAGAGTTGTTGAGCTTCTTGATTGGACTTAGCCCTGGCATTGACCCAATCAGGTCTAAGCCATTGCAGAAGAACTTGCCCGGGGACACAG